TGTAGTGTGCGTGGTGTGGGGGTGTGGGGGTACATGTATGTGTAGTATGTGTGGATGTGGGTACATGTGTATGTAGAATGCATGTATGTGTGGTGTGTGTTGTATGTTTGTGTATAGTGTGTATGTATGTGTGTGGTGTGTGTGGGTATAAGTATATGTAGTGTGCATAGAGGTGTGTGAGGTATGTGTGTGGTGTATATGTGTGAGTGTGGGTATGTGTGTGGTGTGTATGGTGTGTGTGGGGGTGTAGGGACATGTGTATCGTGTATACACGTATATGTGTGTGTGTGGTGAATGGGTGTGGGTTTGTGTACATGTGTGTTCTACCTTGTCTTTGAGACAGGGTCTCTTTTGGCCTTGACCTCACCAGGTAGACTAGACTGACTGGCCAGTGAGTCCCGGGATCTGCCTGTCTCCACCTCCCAGGGCTGAGATGATAAACTTGCAGCAGCATACCTGGCTTTTTTCATGGGTTCTGGGGTTGAATTTAGGTCCTCGTGCCTGAGGCAAGCACTTTGCTGACTGAGTCATCTCTCTATCCCTCAGTTTTGACATAGTTAACCTGGATATTGTTCTCTCCATGTGTTATATTCTATTGTAAACAGATTTAAGAAAACAAAGATGGTTTGGAAAGATATTTAAGAAGATGTGGTTTATCAAAACTCATAGTTGGGGTTGGTAACATGGCTCAAAGGTTAAGAATGCTTGTTGCCAGGCATCGTGGCATATGCTTTTAATCCCAGCACTTAGGAGGCAGAGGCCAGCCTGGTCTACATAGTGAGTTCCAGGCCAGCTGGGGCTACAGGGAGACCCTATCTCAAAAAGACTGCTTACTGCTCTTGCAGAGGACCTGGGTTTGGTTCCCAGTACCCACATGGTGGTTCATAAGTCCAGTTCTTCTGACCTCTATGGGCTCCTGTACACATATAGTATATACATGTATATGCTTAGGTTGGGCATAAAATAAATCAATAAATACAACAACAACCACAAAAACTAATAGTTGTACTTTGGTCAAATGAGCTGGTTGAAGTACCCACTGTGTTCAGAGGCTAGGAAAATCGACCTCATAGCATCTCTCTCTCTCTCTCTCTTTTTTTTTTTTTTTTTTTTTTTTTTTTTTTTTTTAAAGGGGTTTTTTTTGTCCTCCTTCTCACTATGTAGACCAGGCTGTCCTTGAACTCACAGAGATCCACCTGCCTCTGCCTCCCGAGTGCTGGGGTAAAGGCGTGCACCACCACACCTGGCCTCATAGTGTCTCTTATATTCTGAACCCCCGAAGAGGATAGGGAGATCACAGAATCCATTGGAAGCCTCAGCCTTCCTTTAGTTTTCCTAGGAAGAGTGAATGATGCAAGAAAGCCCAGCTTCTGAGAACCCCAGGCCATGAGCTGGGAATCACAGCAAGTCCTCAGTGAAGTCAGCTAAGGCCTGGGTTCCATCATCGTAGCTCCACTGCCCCATACAGTCTGCTTTGGAGAAGCGTGAGCTCTCTGCAGCCATGCATCATCCCCTGCAGGTGCTGGTTTAGAACTTCAGGCTTAGGACTCTGGGTCAGAGGTTGGGTTGGAGAAGAATAGGTAGATGCCCTGGACCCCAAAGGAGGTTCTCTGAGACCACAGTCTCTGGTTTGGGAGGATCAAACCTGATGTGGCCACACTTGCATGGCGAACTGGAGTGGGGAATGAACTAGAAGTTGGTTTTGAACTGGTCAGCTCCAGCGCCTCGCCTCTTGTCCTGATGCAACTACTCTGGATCCCTAAGAACCACCTTTGAAAGTAGTCAATGTTCTTAAAAATCCCCCCCCCCCGCCACACACAATTTTAGCACAAAATCAGTGTTTGGGACTTTATATACAATACCCTTACCCTTCACAGAAAATGAACATGTATTTCATTCCCTGGTTCCAAAGACTCACGGCCAACGTCCTTTGTAGAAGCAGGAAGCTGACTCAGCAACAAGTGATGAGCAGGGTTGTTGAGGACAGAGCCAGGGCTTTGTTCTGAAGCCAAGTAGCGCCCTATCTGCCCCCTCCAGCTTTCTGTGTGCAGTGGGGACAGTCAAGGCACAGGGTTGAGGGTAGGTTTTTTTTTTCTTTTTTTTTGAGACAGGGTCTCTCTGTAGCCCCAGTTGGCCTGGAGCTTGCTATGTAGACCAGGCTAGCCTTGAACTCATAGACATTCCTCTGCCTGCCTCTGCCTCCCGGGTGCTGGGATTAAAGGAATGTGCCACCATGCCTGGCTTGAGGGTAGATTTTAAGGAGACTGTCGTGTGGCTGGCACTAAGGAGATACTTTGTCCCAGGGAACAGGGGTATGTGAAGGGCCAGGTCAGTCTGACTGAATTTGGGTTGAGACTACATTCTGCTCTTCATCCCTCTGTAGACATGAAACCCAGCAAAGAAGAAAGGGAGAGATGAGCATCCACCCTGGCCTTCTGTTGTATAGTTGATTCCTCCAACTGAAGCTGTCCCTTCTGGAGAGAGTGGGGAGGCTTGTAGCACCCAGGAAGCCAAAGGAATTCAGGAGGCTGAGACTGCAAGATCCGCCAGGCTTCTCAGCAAGGCTAACAAAGCAGTAAGCAATCTCTACAGGAGTCTGTGTAGCTAGCTGACTGCGAGTTGTACAGGAAACTCCAAGGCCGTCCTTTCCTGAGTTGTCATGGGTGCTGGGTGGGCTTTCTGGTGATTCAACTAACTCAAAGGCATGCTGTTGTAAGTAACCCCAATAAACTTATTAGTTCACCAAACTAGACTTAGGTGGAATCATTTCTTTGGTCTGCCCTAGGTCCTCTATCTGGTGTGAATAAGAAAATTATATAACCCCTTCCTGGGAATAATTTCTGTTTTCCAAGAGTCCCCAGGTCCAGACATTGTCCCTGGCTCCCTAACTCATGTGCATCTCCAAGACTCAGTGGCTCAGGCAGCCTCCCATCTTGTCTCCCTTCTTATAAGCAGGCTCCTCTGGTGACCTGGGCCTGAGCAGGGAAATGTTCTTACTCAGTTTTGCAGTTTGATCTTCCTTACTTTGACTTAATTTCTTCCTATGTCAAGTCAAGTATCATATCTTAAGTGGTGAGGGAAAACAAAAACATTTTTGGGGTAGGGAGGAAGAATCCTAAAATTCCCGGTCTTTCTCTGGATTCAGCTGTAAACTCACAAAGCAAGGTTGCAGGCAGCTGTGAGTCTGTGGTTGTCAAGTATTGAGGGAAAGCAGGATGTAACCAGTCCTCAGCTAGGCCTACACACAAGGGCTGTGGTCAGACAGGGGCGTGCCTTCTCCTGGCTTGCTCATAACTTCCTTCCAAAGTCCAGTGGCTCAAATGTCTGAGTTCAGGTGTCCCTCACATTAGTTAGAAGAGTAAATATCAAAACGGAACAAAGAATTTGTGCCAGTGGTTTTTACTAAGTGCAATATATGTTCATTATAACAATTAAAGATAGTACAAAAAGGGCATTGAAAAGGGGGAAAATCCTTAAAACTATCTTTAATCCAACTTCACAGAATCAGAGATATTTATAACCAAAATTCAGATGTCAGTTTAAACATTTATTCTTTTTTTATATTTTACTTATTATTTCTATTTTATGTGTATGTGTATATTGCCTGCATGTAGGTAAGTGCACCCATGTTGTGCAATGCCTGCAGAGGACAGAAGAGGCTGTCAGATCCCCTGGAACTGGAGTTGGCAGTTGTTAGCTGCCATGTGTGTTCTGGGATTCAAACTCAGTCTTCTGCAAGAACAGTCAGTGTTCTTAACAGCTGAGCCATCTCTCCAGCCCTAAACATTTATTCTTATCCTTCTTATTATATGAAACAGGGTCTCACGTAGCCCAGATTGACCTCAAAATCACTATATAAGGTGGATGACCTTGAACTTCTCATCCTCCTGCCTTCACCTTCTGAGTGCTGGGATTACAGGCACGCACCACTGTATACTGCTTTATGTGGTGCTGGGGATGGACCCTAGGGCTTTGTGCATGCCAGGCAAGTACTCTACCCACTGAGCTATCCTCCCAACATTATTATGAAAGCTTACATAAAAGCAGAGAAAACACCTGGCATCCACCACTCAGCTCCAGGAATTAGTAATGAGGGTTAATATTTCATCCATTTCTCACTCCATGGCTGCATGGACTATTTCATTTCAACCATAAACACTTAATTGTGGGCCTCTGAAAGCTAAGAGCTCTTTTTTTTTTTTTGAAACAGGGTGTCCCTGTAGCCCCAGCTGGTCTGGAACTCTGGAACTCACTATGTAGACCAGGCTGGTTTTGAACTCACAGAGATCCGCCTACCTCTGCCTCCCGTTGCCCCCCGCTGGGTCGGAACCTGGGAACCCAATATGTAAGTCAGGGTTGTTTTTAACCCCCAGAGGACCCCCCTGCCTCTGCCTCCTGAGTGCTGGGATTAAAGGCATGTGCCACCACTTCCTGCCTTAGCGGCTCTTTTTTTAAAAGAAATAAAAGCTATCAACGTTAGTTTTTGTGCTTGTTTTGTTTGCTTGTTTAAGACAGGGTCTCATACTGTAGCCCAGGCTGGCCTAGAACTTACTGTGCAGCCCAGATTGGTCTCAAACTTGTGGTAATCCTCCTGCCTCAGCTTCCCAAATACTGGGATTACAGGCATGTGTGGCCATGTCCAACTATCAGGACTAGTCTTCATCTTTAAGTATAGCAATATTTCCTCAGTATCATCAAAATGCAATTTTACATCAAGTTCTTTTTGGGTAACATCAAACATGAGATTGCGTTCATGGCTCTAAGTTGTAACTACTAAGGCTTCTAACCATATTTCCTCATGTTGGGTGTGTGTAAAACGTCTAATCACCCGACTTCCCAGTCCTCCATATCCTTGGACATATTTTTGCTGCAACACCCACAGGAAAATGATCTGCTGTATGAACACACAATGAAAACAACCTCACTAACCTACAGTGTCCTGTGTGGCTGGGTCTCACCCTACCCCACCCCCAAGTGTGGGAGGAGGCCTGTGCACTTACCTGGGCAGATGCAAAGGGAACGTCTTCAGGAAGTATCAATCAGCCACCCTGTCCCTCAGAGATGACTCCACCAGAGGCAAGTGTTTCCCTTTCCCTCTCTCTGAGGGCATCTTTATATGCAAAGTTAGCCAATAGTATTTGGTTTCCTGTGAGGTAGCCTATCTTTAGATGCCACAGCAAGCTCCAAGCTGGAAACCAGCTGACCTCAAGAAGGGGCTGAATTTCAAGCCTAGGCCACTGGAGCTTGGGTTAGAGGGAGAGGGGTGAGTGGATGGGAGGGAGATAAATGGGGACTGTGCTATTCATTCCCCATGGGTAAGCAACAGTCAGCAGCCTCTGTGGCCAGCACCACAGTTCAGGTCATTGATGTGGGTCTCAGGCACACTGTAGGAGCCCTGGTACCCACTGGTCAGCATTGGGACACAGGCTAACTCACCTTGCAACCTTTTTCCTCAGCATGGTCCCAGTGCCTGCTGCCTGCCCTTGCCTACTGAGCTGACACACTCCTTGGTGAGGTTCTTAGGAGACGGCTTGGACCACTGAAGTAGGAACACCACATCTGAAGTGTCTAGTACCTCTCCACCTTTGAGGAAGTCTGCTGTTGGTTTCCTTTGTGTTTCCTTCTGGTCTCTTTGTTTGGTCACCTTCCCAAGCGGAAGCCACAAGATGGATGCAGAGTCAACGGCTCCTCACGGGCTCTCAGACATTGGCCTTTCCCCAGGCTCAGTATCTCTCAGGGGCCACTCAGCATCCCCCAGCCTCAGCAACTTGTTCTCTCTCTCTGTCCTACTTCTGCTCTTGTTTGTTTTGAAACAGTTCTCATGTATCCTATGCTGGCCTTGAAATGACCAAGTGGTTAAGGATGATCTTGAACTTCTCTGATCCTCCTGTCTCCATCTCTTGAGTACTGGGATGATGTACCACCAGACCTGGTTTATGAGGTGCTGGGGATTGGACTCAGGGCTTCATGCACGCTAGGCAAACAGTCTACCTACTGAGCTATGTCCCCAGCCACACTCAAGTGATTCATTGTGGTCCTTTCTGGCTGAGATTCTTCCTCATTTCCTATCATGGACTCTTTCTAAACAATCTCCTCTACAACATGTCAATGGGCACTTTGTGAAGCAGCTCCATCTCAAGCAGGGACCTGGAGAGCACCCTAACCCACCCAATCCCTTCCTGCTGGTCTGTCTTCATCTTATCATTATTCCATCAACTACTTTCTTCCCAGAAGCCAGAGAAATTCCTGATCCCAACGATGCCAACTTAACACTCTCCAAAGGTTCTTCCTCTCAGTTTAAGTCTTGTGAGTGTGGGCTCTGCATGGTGGTCCCTTTTACTTCCTGCTGTGCTCTAACTGCTTCCCCTTCCTCCAGCATCTCCCAGCCTGTGTGAGGGTAGGGGAGTGCTTTCCTTCCCACCTCACCTGCTGTGTGCTGATAAGTCAGCCTTTCCTATAGATGCTGAAGCACACAGGACTCAATGACAGACATCAGCATCAGTTTCCTTGTCCCCAGTTCCCACAGGGTGATGTGGCCAGATAGATATACCGGAGGGCACATTAAGGAATAACAGGACAAGAGATAATTTTCATACAAGTAAATCTCTGGGGATGTAACTCAGTCAAGTAGATGCTTGCCTAGCATGCACAAGACCCTGGGGCCCATCCTCAATACTGCATAAAACATTGTGATGGTGCACACTCATAATCCCAGCATTAAGGAGATAGAGGCAGGAAGATCAGAAGTTTAAAGTCATCCTTGGCTACATCCTTGGGTTTGGGGACCAACCTAGGCTGTAGGAGACCTTGTCTCAAAAAAAACAAAAAACAAAACTAAACCAAACCAAATCAAATCTATTAATGAACCAACCAAACAAACAAAGTAAATCAATGGTTGGATAGAAGGGAGGAAAAACAAGGAGCTGATAGCAACAGGCACACCATCCAACCCATAATGTCTCCTTTTCATCTCTGCCTTCAGGTTAGAGATTGCCATTACTGTTACGTCATGGAATGAGGACAAGAGAGGCAGTCATAGGCACACAGCTGGAAAAGGTGACGTCAGCACTGGAAAGCCCTGATTTGAGGCGGACAGTGAGCCAGCGAGCGAGGGAGGAGATCTTTGAAAGAGTCTCATTGGTGGAGCCAGGAGGGAGAATCTGAAGGACTGTCTCCATTGAGTCCAAAGTCAGCAGATTTCAGAAGCAGGAAAGATTCTTTTGAAAAATTTAAATTTCAGTTAGCATATAAAGCAATTGGTTGCATTATGGCATTTTCATTTCTCTGTCATCTGTCTATCTACCTACCTACCTATCATCTATCTACCTACCTATTTATTATACTTTGATCTTACTCTTTCCCTTGTCCTTTCCCATTTCTCCTCCCCATTCTCCCCTCACCCACCCCCCTTTCTGCTTTCATATCACATAACTCCCATTTATCCTTCATATTTCTTTCTCCCCTCTGATAGTATCTTTTCTACTTTAGTACACACACATATACACACAGAGAAACAAACACAAACTATTTAACATCTATGATCTATCTATCTATCATCTATCATCTCTCTCATCTATCTATCTATATCTAAATCTAGGTTACACATATGAGAAATAATCTGCAAATGTCTTTCTGGTCTGGTTTATTTCACTTAACATAATTTCCAGCTCCATCTGTTTTCCTTCAAATGCCATTGTTTCTTATGGTTGATTAAAAACTCCATTACAAATGCATACTATATCGTCTTTATCTACTAATCTGTTGATGGACATATGGGTTGGTTCTATAACAGCTACTGGGACTAGGAGAAAGGATTAGACAGAGGACTGTGGAAAGAAGTGAATCCACACGAAGTAAGTACTGTTTACTGCTCTCTACTGACCTCACGTTTATATCTTACCATCTGTCATCATTTCCCAATGTGGTTCAGAACTTGGCTGGGCAGTGATGACAACTGAATTAGGAAAGACTCTGGGAGTGTTTTGGATAATGAAATCATGCTATACCACTTATTTTCTCTCATATAATGAATCTAGATTTGAAATAAAAGCTGTCAGCTGGGCATGGTGGTATACACCTTTCAGTCCACACTTGGGAGGGCAGAGGCAGGCAGATCTCTTTGAGACTGAGACCATCCTAGTCTACATAGCAAATTCCAGGCCAGCCAGGGCTACGTAGTGAGACCTTGTCTCAAAAAAGTGAGAGAGAGGGAGAGGGAGAAGGAGAGGGGGAGGGAAGAGGGAGGGAGGGAGGGAGGGAGGGAGAGAGAGAGAGAGAGAGAGAGAGTGAGAGAGAGAGAGAGAGAGAGATCAGAGTAGGAGAGAGGAAGGGGAGACCAGCTAGATGGAAAAAGGGAGGGTAATGCAGGTGGTAACAGAATATTCAGACTATGAAAAAAAAAAAGAAATGGTTTTAGTAACAATTTTTATCTTTGGACAAAAGAAAACAGAAGAAAGGAAACTTTTACAATGAACCAGTCATCAAAATTTCTTAGGAAAAAACAATTTTAGGTATCACTTAATTGGCTATTTTTTTATATTGAAAAAAATCTATGGCTGAGCTGACTCAATTGGTAAAGTACTTGCTGTATAAAACAAGGACATGGGTTTGGATCCCCAAGAGCCCATGTAAAAAGCTTGTTGGACTGGCACACACATAATTCCAATGCTGGGGAGGCGAGCAGAAATAGGATGATCCCTTGGGCTTGCTGTCTAGCTAGTTAATTCCAGATTCAGCAAGAGACCCTGCCCCAAAAAACCAAAATGAAAAGCATTAGAGGAAAACACCAGATGTCTACCTCTAGCCTGAATGCCCTCATATGCACACACAAATCACACACAAATCTAGAGGTGAAGGCAGGAGGATTAGAAGTTAAGAAGTCAGGGGGCTGGAGAGATGACTCAGTGGTTAAGAGCACTAACTGCTCTTGCAGAGGACCCGGGTTCGATTTCCAACACCTACATGGTGGCTACAGACTGTCTTTAACTCCAGTTCCAGGGGAATCCGAAGCCTCTTCTGACCTCCGCGGCATTGCATGACACGGGTACACTCACATATATGTAGGCAATACACTCATACACATAAAATAAAAATAATAAATAAAAATTTTTTTACAAAAAGAAGTTAAGTCAGTATTTGTTGAAACCGTATATCCAACAGCATAGCTATAATCCTGGGCTTGTGATAGCTCCCGCTACAAAGCAATTTAGGAAGAATTCAGGCAAAGAGTTGCTGCATTCAAAAAGCTCATGTACTTATGTGAGAGAATTAGCATGGATGTAAAACTAAGTGAAATGCACCTATGATTGTGTGTGAACATATGGCATTCTCCTGGATTTTAATTTTGGTTAAATCCTTTCTAAGGTACAGTGTTTTAAGGCAGAGGAGCTAAGGTGCATTATAGATTGAAGCAAAGACATTTTTTTATTCCAAAACAAATCATCATTTGTCACTTAACTATTCATTTTGGTTTTGAGATGGGCTCTTGCTATACCACCCAGGCTGGCTGAGAACTCCCAAGCTCAATGATCCTCTTACCCTGGTCTCTTGAGCGCACAGGACAGCAGGCATACTCTACCACGCTCAGCTAAACACTCACCCCTGTGCTGCATTCCCAGCCCTGCCCCTTGATAGTGGTTGGTAACCACCACTGTTAAGCATCACGCTCTTGAATGTATGCTATGCGTGACCAACCTGATTCATTCATTCACTCACTCATTGGGCATTTATTGAGTGACTGTTATATACTCTATCTAGTCCTCAGACAAGGCTGCCTGCTACAGATACAAAGTTGAGCAGGGCAGGGTTTCTACCTGTACCTGATGGTCTCTATTTACCCTCTATTCTTTCAGGTCATAAAAAGAGTCAGCTGAAGGAACTAGGTACTAGATAGCTCTCAGGAGGATACGGTAGAGACCTGAGTTGCATATACAAGTTGCCCTGTATCTCTGTCCTCTTATCTTCTTTCTAGCACTTGCCAGGGCCTGGAGCATCAGGCTAGACCGCCAGTCAGCAGGCACAGCCCCACCTAGTGGTCAGCTTGAGCTTCATGATTCCCGTTTGGCCCAGGGAGTT